AAGTCTCATTATAATGTATTACAGTGGTATGGGACTTTGCTCTGGGCATGGAAATTCTGTCGTTATTCGCGAATTGTCGTTATATCCGCAGTCGTTATTAGCGAAGTTGACTGTACATGAATGCAAGGGAATCCGGCATGTGAATACAAGAACACAGACAACAGCACAATAAGCACACAGCTACAGGAAACAACGCGAGGGGCAGTACCCAGAGCACACACAGGGAAGCGAACAATCACATGATCCGCTAGGCAGCAGCAGGACAACAAAACAGCCTAAGGACTACGAGATCTCGTATACTTAGCAGCAGGACAGACACATCCATTACTGGTCACATCAGCCGGCGGAGCACCCGCAACATACCTTGTCCTTGATAAGCTGTCCACGATTCTTAGCTCGTTCTGAGCGGAGGTTGATGGATGGGAACATCTTTACAAATTGAACATACCTGCAGAGGACATTGTAGGTCCACAAGAACTTGTCATAACACGAACCCACACATAGCCTAGAGGGATGATCCTTTCCCACCAACGACTACTATTCAAGACTTCAAGTACCATAGTACAATACATGTCAGTAGCCTATAGCGATAAGCAGCCCATAATTAAGTTCTCCGTATTCCAGGAGGGTCTAGATGCTGCTAGATATCCGGAGAGCATCATCTACTCATGTACCGTAGACCAGAGCTTTATCATAGATATCAGTCTGGTTGGTGAGAACTGAGTAGGCGGGAAAGCACCTAGTACAAACCACTGCATCAAACTTTAAAACAAATACGGACACACACACACGAGCGCACACTCATACACACAGGCACACGAATACTCATATACGTAGCAGTGTTCTGACGTACCTTGCTCGCGTGCTGTTGTTGGGCCGACTGCCGTGCGCCACACGCTGGTCCCAGATGAGTAAGCTGCCAGCATGCATGGGTACTCTCTGGGGCTGTTTGTACATGGGATCATGGCCATGCACAGGTATAAAGTTCTACAAAGAGAACACAGAGATCACAGGTAACAACCAACCATTTGAATGGTAAAGTAGTCGTTGTTGATGAAATCCAGCCAAATAAAACATCAGTACCCCGCAGCAGTACACAGACAACTGTCCCTGTGGGCAACAACTGTATGGTCCTGACCCTAGTTGAGCATGATAAGGCTGGATTTTGCTGGACATGACAGTCGTTTTAAAAAGCAGCACAGTCCCGGAGAAGGTTGCAGGAGAAAACAAGTAGCTGTAGAGAGAGTTTGTTTTTTGCAGATTTAGATTTATATTGCTCCAGGAATGGTCAAGGGTGAACAAGGGTCTTGTCAACTGCACAAAGGTGTTGTTTGTTGCTCGGACCGCGGTCACGTTCTCAGTACTGAATATCACACCAGCCTTGTCGCGCTATACATTGTGCCGTGGTGGTCACAGGTGAACGCGTTGGAGTGTCGCTTCTCAACAGAGCCTACAAAACAAAGTCATGGCGCGTGTGCCGTTATCACCGTTTGCATGAAGCCTCAGATGTCGCGGAGTGATTCTTAGTTTCTTACCTTGACTTTGGCTCAGCTCCCCGGCAAGTTTTCCTGTTTCTGTAGTTACGTCATGACCAGTATGGCACTCAGCTGTGGGGTAGCTAAACGATGAACCTAGTAGGGTGCAGAAAAAAAACACATATACATCATACATTAAAAATCCGGTTTGCATCAGCTGTGGATTTTTCAACTCCCATCCTCCCAGTCCCTGCAGAGAAACTTTGGTATAATTAGTCTGATGTGATATTGAGTCGCGTGATATTGCAAGATAACACACAAAATGTCACACAAAATGTCACACATTGAGTGCCAGATTAGATAACATTCATATCACTTATGTTACATGGACAAATGTGGGCACAAGTTATGCGATTGAGTCTACCAACTAAGCCAGATTTTGAAGAGTCAGACGTGCACAATCCAGCACAAAACTGACAAGGAGCACGGAGACATTCCACGGCATGAAAGTGCCTTGTGCCCACATTTTTCCATGTTACAATTTTTTCTTGGCTCACCGTCTGAGTTCCAATCTCTTATGTGTTGAGTTATAGTATTCTTGAATTGTGTTCAGTTTATCATCATTATAATAAGGTCGAGCATTGAAACGATTGTTTTCAGAATCAGAATATTCATTGAAATGCTGATAAGTAGTTGATACGTGTGGATAACACAAGTGGTTATTTGTAGAGGTTATTCTTCTGGCAACTTTTTATTTCGCCATTTGTTTGGATAATGAACCTACCGTTCGCACAGACTGAGCTCACACAACTTCTCAGCTTCAAGGGCAGTCGTAACTGACTTCTTTAGTTTCTCCAGCTGGGTGTTGTGTCCTCCACCTTGTTTCATGCTGTCAAACTAACAACATGTGTGAACTATAACAAGGTTTATCTAATACTAGTATTGTACTAGTATTGGGTTTGTACAGTCTATATCCAGCCCACTGATAATGGTGCAGAGCCACTCCGTTTTATGTGTCTATCAGCACTGCTTGTTGTACTGTTGTGCATTATCATACTACTACGCATTCGTTCCTCATGTTGTATTCACGTCTGATGCGCGTAGTCGCGTACACTGCTTTCATTCCTCATGTTGTATTCACGTCTGGATGCGCGTAGTCGCGTACACTGCTTTCACTTCTCATGTTGTATTCACGTCTGATGCGCGTAGTCGCGTACACTGCTTTCGCGCAATCTTTTGATTTGAATGTTTTTTGAATCTCCGCTTCTGCTTCGAGAGAAGCAGAACTTTCCTTTGTACTGCAAGATGATTTCGATCAGAGTCAGAGTAAAACATTATAATACAGTCTTCTAAAACAACGAGTCGTGTGCTATCCGGAGGCATGTTCGAGTAAGAACAGGGTTATATAATAGTACTTGTCTGTATCAGAGGGTCCCGGGCATCATACAGGCGTAGGAATAGGGCCTTTGTAAATAGCTGCCGTTCTTTGCCAGTACGGTAATGTTTCTGTGGGCTCTTTTACCTAGGGTTTTTGTCTCTTTTTTGTGTTCCAATTGATTTTTACTTTTTATTTTTGTGTTTAATACTAACATTCATGCATTTTTATGACTTGAGGCTGCACGCGTGCTAGAGTGTACGTGAAGTGTGTGGGTACAGTGAGGGCTGCGTCCCACCCGCCTGTGTGGATTCACAGGAAGTGTGAGTTACGAAGTCTGAAGAAAATGTTGAACGGTCTCTGCTGGGATGACGACTACACCATAGCTCAGTGGTTAGAGCATCGCTAGCTACAAGCGAGGGTCCCTGGTTCGAGTCCTGGTGGTGACAGTCAATTTTTTGTTCAGACTTTTCCCGTTTGTCTCTTTCCCTCAAACTAGTGAAGATTCATGCATTTAAATTGATTTTTGTACTTCAAAGTAGTTTACTGAATTTGAATTTGTTTGATGATATGTGCAATTCATTTTTCCCGCACAAGAGGCTTTACTAGTACTTACCTGCGGAGGTATTGGTTGTGAGAGTTACCACCTCACCCTCGCAGTTTGGCGCTGCATCCCCTCTGAGATGAACGGCTGCTGAAAATGTTATTGCGTCTGCGTTGTTGTGACTGCTTTTGCTACGCTGCCTGCTCTTCTTGACATTGCTGCTGCTACGAGTACGAGTTCGTACTGCAGTCTTCTGTCTTGGCAATTACTGCACTAATAAATAATATTGAAGTAATAATATTCACTGGCACAGTGGTAGAATTATTAGAAGTTGAAAATGAACCGCTTCGAACACACGTTCGGCAAATATTTTTCCCTTGGCCGCGGGCCTAGCCTGGCCGTAGCTGTAGCTCAAGACTGCACTCGTACTGGGTCACGGCGAAGTGTCTCACTCGCTCTACCGCCGCAAGTCTGGAGCGCTTTGCGCTGGTGGCTCTCGCGTGCGCGCGCTTCTGGTTGCCATGGTGCAAAAACTGCCGCACTCCTAGACCAGCGTCCCTTTAGTCCTTCGCTTCAGAGACAGAGGTCTGCAGCGGATGGTGTCGGACATGACTCGCATGATCGGATTTCAGAGTAGGATCTAGGAATGTAGTCTGTAGGAGTAGACATCTACACTGTGAGCAGTCTCGTAGTCTACTCATGCTCATGTTGTCTTCGTGGACTGTGGGCGCGTGCGCTAAAGGCTTTAAAAGAAAAGAAAAGCTATCACTGTTATCAACTAGATGTACATGTACATGTATCTAGTATTCTACTCTGAAGCTCCCAAGCCAGGGAGCTCTTCAACTTTCAAGTCTTGCTGCTAGCAGCTGACCCCTTCACAGTGCTATTAATTATTATGCTACCAGTAGATCTACACAGCTACAGTTCAATAGGTCTAAGGACCTTTGACCTTTTGTATTTCTATTCCATGGCTGGGGTAGCCAATGACCATGATTGAGATACGAGAGGTACCTGGTTCAAGTCCTGCCTGGGAGCGGTTTTTCCAGCCGTGCTGCTACCCACAGTCAACTGGGAACTTGTGGCCAGGCACAAGGGGTACATGGATGCAGCTAATGGGGTCGTTTTCGGCACTTGTGCCAGTGGTTGTGAGACTTACGTAATTACCCACTCACCCCCACCGTTAGGCGCTGCATCTGCCGCTAGGGTTTATCGGGTGTTAGCGGCCGTCGTGAGTTCCCTTCGGGAACGGATACGATAATTTACTTTACTTTTACTTTGCGTGACGATTGCAGGGTTTTTATAGCCAACCACGGCTTTTCGCACTTATGAAGTCCACTACACTGCCAGCAGGGAGTCGTCAAATCCTGACTACTCTGTCATCATCCTGGAGTAGAGATGGTAGAATCCGCCATACAGCGCGTCGTGGACCTACTACGGGAACTATGTGGATGGGATTGGCTGTTGTACTCAGACCGCTTACCGGGAGTCTTGAGTCGGGATTTTACGACTCCCCAGCTGTAGGCAGTGTCTTCATCACGTGGTGGCAACATCCAGTGTGACATGTGCATTCAACAGATTCTGGATCTGCCCGCCCGCGGCATGATCGGTGACTTGTTCAGTTGTTGTGATCAGTTTTGATCACCGAGTATTTCTGAACTTGGCTTCGTATCGAGGTGGAGTTCAGCGACCTCACACGGTCATGGACGCCACGCTGGGATCTGTAGCCGTGGCCTTGACGGTTGTTCTCATTTCAGTCGTCTTCCGCTATTTTGAAGTCATTCGCAGGAAATTGGATGACTTTCTCTTGAAGGTGAATTATTTTGCTAAATCCATCATTTCTAGAAATACACACTGTTCACATTAGCTGTTGTACGCAGTCCAGTATCATCAGTATTGCGTTATGATGCTGCACTTCAGTGTGTTGTCTTGGGTCCGAATAAAATGATCTCCTTTTGAATATTCTCTACCAATATCTGATGAGTTAGATGAGAAGCTGAGCTTGTATTCAAACACTTTTGAATTGCAGATGACGCATGGAGAAATGATTTTTCAATTTGAACAGGAAGAAAGTTTATCAAAAATCTATGCTCAGTGCCAGCCATACTCGTTTTTCAGTCTTTTTCAAAGAAATTTGAATTACCCTGCACATTCACCCTGCATTCGCGAGCCCTGTGCTCTCTATCATGGATGCCCAAGTGGTTCTGTTCAACTACTAACAGTACCACCAGCTATTGCTACGTGTTTGGCGGAACAAACCACACACACATGCATGCACACACACACACACACACACACACCTTTTGACCTTTGACGCCCATCGCCGGAGGCGATGATAGCAATGCTACGGCAGAAGCCATAGCAACTTGTGCTGGGATTGCACCATTCAACAGCTTGCAAGGCTGAAGAATTGACCGTCACTATTCAGCCTGGTCTACACCATACAGCTATTTGAAGTGACTTTTTCTGGCCAGTGAATCCCTATTTTTGGTCTTTTTTTTTTTTTTTTTTTTTTTTTCTTTTTTTCCCACACACACATCACACCACATACTCCGGCATGCACTGGCTGTTGGTAACCACCCAGGAGAATGAAAGAAAAGTCAGGAAGAGTCTGAGAAAGAGAAGAAAGACGTGTGTGACCATAATCGTCGGGAATCGAACCCGCAACCTATCGATTGGAAATCGCTGCACATACCACTGCACACACACACACACACACACACACACACGCATACACACACACACACACACACACACACACCTCAACCCGCCAGTGCCAGTAATGGTACTACTTTGAAAAGGTGCTGATGCCTGGGTTATTTAGATGTACATGTAACAGAGGGTGAACAGTTACTGAACATACAGGAACATTTTGCAGGTGATGACATATAAGGAAGCTTATGAAAGGATCATTGCTTGTGCACAGAGTACTGATTACTTTGCACTGATCATTTCAAGTTCCTGAAATCCAAATACATTTGGTAAGATCTTTTGATAGGAGATCAAACAGCACAGCAAACTGCCAGGCGCCAGGCATGGTTTTGTCAACTTAAATCCCCGTGAATTCAGCAGTGTCGTGCGCCGGCAGTGTAATGCTACACACGCACAGCCTGTCGTATCCTGATTCAGTTTCTGCGGCTATACTAGGATGACAAAAGACACACTCACGGTCTGCATGAGTGTGTATGGATTAGCCTAGTCTCAGAGCGAAAGACTTGTCGCAGAGATTATTTCAATGCCGAATGAAAAGTTTGATGTCGTTCAGGTGTGCATGGCACAGTTTTTTTGCTTTTGTGGACGAGTGTAGTGTGATGTGAAATTACTCCCCGCCCAACCTCAGTCCTGTTCGAATACGTCTTTACAGCGTATGCAAACGCACTGAAATGTTGCACAGTAGATTACATGAGATTCGGTTCGTGGACGGGAAGTTTAATCAACTGAAGACATGGGATGACGTGATCTGTTCCCTCTCTTTGAGAGGGGGTACATCTGTGTGTTGGTGGTGGTGGGGGGGGGGGGGGGGGGGGTGCGTGTTGTGGTGGTGCTTGTGCTGGTCGGCGTCATCACGGTCATGCTCTGTTGACTCTCAGTCTAGTTCTGATGTGTTGTTGGCTGCTTTTCTTCCTGTACTGTTCAAACGCACAGGTGGATGAGAAATCCGAACGTCATGGAGGTGAATTGGTTGGTGAAGTCTTGAAGGTATGCTGTGAGTGTGTCTTCGACATTCGTGTTTTCGGTGTTTTCTTGGTGTCTGTTAGTGGCCGTGGCCTTCTACAGTGGACGCTTTGTACAGATGGAATTCTGATAATTTGAAGCTGGATTTGGCAGAGAAACTTTTTTAAATCCAAGCATGCACCCATGATGCAATTGTATGTCAAGAATGCTCGCATTGTCACACACAGTTGCATAAACCAGGTGGACACTCATTTAGCGCACCCTGTACTGGTCAGTACAGAACTTTCACATACTGAAATGGGCAGTACAGTGTACAGTGAACTTTGAATTGCGCAATTTGCAAACTTCGAATTATCAGCAGGAATCCTACACATTTTCTATGGATTTCGTGGGCACAAATGCACAGTCATATTGACTGAAATCGGCCCTGGAAA